TCGTATTTAAATTAATTTAAATTATTTTCACTAACAAAAAAGAATGCACATGGAATAAGCTTGTGTTTATATTCGAAGCGAAGCAAAAATTGTAATTTATAATCTAGTAAATTTTTATATCTAATATTTAATAAATAACACTCATTATAGTTGTAGTAAGCTTTTGTAGAATCGATTGTATCTTGAAAATTTTGAATACTCAAGAAAATAAAAAATTTTTGAACATGTATATTTAAATTTTTAAATTTGTACAAATCTCTAATTCTTAAAAAAATATAAAAATTGTCAAACAACTTAAATAAATAAATCATTTTTGAAATTCTTGAAATCTTACATGAATCTCTGAATTATCAATAAAAAAAAATAAAAAATATTTGAACTTAAAATATTTGAAACACATTTTTCTTCTTGATTTTGTGGTGATGTTAAAGCGGTAGCATGATTTATTTATTTATTTTATCCAATTGGAGATGATATATTATCGTCTAATCAGAACTTGGGGGAGAAATTAGGGTGCCCACTTAATCATACTCAAGGCACGTAGTCATGCCAGTGGGCACGTAGACACGGCCATTTGAACCTGTTATAATGATACTCTTGCATAATTATGAGAAAATAGCTTATAAGATGGCATATAAACATGCCAGTAGCCATGCCAACATGCCAGTTGGCACGTAAACGCGGCAGTTGGTATGTCAATGTGTCCAAGGTTCAAAATGTATTTAAGAACTCCAAGTTCTGAGCGATGAAAGACAGAATTTGATGGTTCTACTTTTATACCTTTATAATTAATGGAGAATTTTCTCGTCCTATTTTATGATTAATAAACTATTCTATCCTTAAATAAATCGGTCTCCTTCCGCTTGAATAAAATATATGCTTATCTGAATATTCCCTTGCATATTGTCTTTGAGTTTGACTAATAACTTTAATAAACCCTTTCGAGACTCAATTCGATGGATTGAATTGACTTGTAACTTTGACTTGGCTTATTAATACTCGGTTTCTAGAACGATTGTGGAATCAGATATTGCCATTCACCTTCGAGACTTGTGGTAGAAAATGAGACTTACGATTGGTTATTCGACCTTGTTAATCACTCCAGTAGACTTAAAGTTATCCTCATTATCACTTGATCATCGTCTGCTTTTACCTCACCATCCTTCTTGAGATATCCCTAACAGCATCGCCTGTAGTTGCTTTGCCTTATTATCACCCCTCTAAATATTAAAACCTTCGTTTCATAGTGTTCTATTGTCTCAATAGATCTCCGATAGTTATAAACAACTCCCTTCCTTTCTCTAAGTTTATCTATATCTCCCTGTACACCGTTGGAGTTAAATTGGCCTTCTATCTACATAATTCTATTAAGCTCTCCCAACAACAGTTACAGTGCCCTGAAATACAATATGAATAACTATATAAGCAAAAATCTAAACAACAAAGTGAATGATGATATAAGTGGCAACCTAAATGATAATATAAGTGGCAACCTTAATGACGATATGAGTAGCAACCTGAATGATGATATTAACAGTAGCCTAAACAACAATAAGAATAGTGATCTAAACTACAAAAACTTTAATGATGGTATGAAAATTGCCTAGAAAGTAATCTGAATAATAAAAAAAATAAAGATGAAATAATAGGTTAAACATTTGAGTAGAATTCCTTATCTAAACTATTAAAACCTATACTTCTTAAAGATTACTCATATTTAATTAAAAAGTTTAATATATTACTATCTTTTAAAACTGCTAAAAATTTTATAATCCTACAAATTGAATTAGATACCTTTGTGAATGTAGATACTAAAGAAAAA